ATAGGGAACTATAATGTAGTAATCCTTGGCCAAGTCCAGTTTTCTGTTTTTTTTGTTACAGCTTTTCCTATCTGAATACAGAGTTTGGTTGTTCTTAAGAGAATGTGACAATTATTGCTTCCCTCTTAATGAGGGTATATGGAGCATGTCGTATCTAAAAGCCTAGTGTAGTTGTTTCTCCCTCTGAATATATAGGTAGATGACCAGGCTTCCAAGATCCCTTAGGCCACCAAATTATTTATTTTAGAGATCAGAAAGTTGCATTGCATTTGATTGAGATCTTTGTGAATATCAAAACATGGGAAAATAGAAAAATTTAAAAGGCAATCTTGGAAATGTAAAAGGAGGTAGACATTTTGGAGAGTCTGTTTCAGCACACTGCAAAATGTTTTTCCCAGAGCTTTGAAGGACAAGAGATGCCTGTGAGCGTAGGTTTTAAATGGCAGCAAACCTAATTTGAAAGTGAATACTCTTAGAACAGGAAGCAGCAAACTTCTTCTGTAAAGGGCTAGAGAATAAATATTACAAGTTTTGTGGATCACTTTTTGTTTGTTTTTTTATAGATAGTAGTTTTTTTTTATAAGAGGAAAGGACAGAAACAATTTTTATGTCCAATATTAAATTATACTGGTTAAATTCATTAATATTTAAGATGATTATTCATTAAACATAAGTGAAAAAATTTTAGCATCTGGATATTTATATGTATAGATATAGATACCCAGTTATCTATAAAATAATATTTTTAATCAGTTGTCTCTGGATTATGAATATCTTTTCAAATATCTGTTTTTATTTCAGTTTCATTATTTGTTTTCAACAATGAACTTATATTGCTTTTGAGGGACTATAGAGAAGGAATTCCATCTCTAATGAACTGTGAGAAATACTTAACTGAGATAGTATTGGGAAAGATGTACTCTGACTATGCCTTTCTTTCTAGAAGGCAATACTGTATCACCTTTTAAACCTGAAGAGGTAGGCGTCTATATTTCTGACACATGCACAGTGTTATGAATCAATTTTCCCTTCATAAAAATATTATTTTTAAAAACAACCACTCTCATAGCAATAGATAAACTCTTTAAAAACCATAAGAAATTCAGCTACTCTGAAAAATGTTTAAAAGAAAATGATTTCATGAAAGCTTTTGGTTTTGACTTGTTTTTAGTTTAATTGGATGATGCTTTAACAACTCAAAGTCTCTGGGAAGTAGAAGGACACTGTTTTTTTTTCTCTTGCTCGGGATCTTGCTGTTCTTTTTAGATACAGAGATAAAACTACTTACCAGGTACTGTCTGAAACTGTAAAGTGGTTCTTTAAGAAAGAAAACTTTCAAAAAAGCTTTTTTCTCCTTCCTGAGCAAAGTACCTCTTCCAGTAAAAGAAAGGCAGAAATTATACTTATTACTGAATAATTAGCAAAGTATTTAATAATTTTCACAAAGCCAATAAAAGTTCTCCCTAACTTTACCATTTTATATTTTTAAAGGAAATTAGATCACATGTGGTTATTATTTTCCTCTTATCACATTAACAAATTTAAAATAATTAGAGCTGTCAAGAATTTGATGAAATAGTGGTTATTAGTGAGTATGGGTAAGGATAATTTAGCCCTTAAAAATTAACAGCATTCATACTTTTAACTTAGTATCTAAATCATGCATCACTTAACAGTGGTAAAACATTCTGACAAGTGAGTCATTAAGATATTTCATCATTGTAGGATCATATGTACCTCCAGGTACAAATCTAAATGGTATAGTACTACACACCTAGGCTGTATGGCCTAGCCTACTGAAATCACTATCACATTTGTGCTCTGTTGACCAAAATTTCATTGAGTAACTTTTTCTATATTTTATTTCATTTTTTCAAAGAAAGGAATACAAAATACAGTTAATTTTGAATTCAAAGATGATATTTTAGGCACCTTTTTAACATGGAATTTGGAAATGGCTAGTGCATAGTCAAAATATGGTCATTCTATGTGATGAAACATTATATGACCCTTAAAACTGACACAGCAAAAAACAGACTTGTAAGATTACTCTAACAGGTTTTTAAAAAATATACCTAAATCTTATTAAGCTTCCAGCTCTTAACTAGTTTTCAGAAAATGTTGGGAATGGAGGAATATGTTGAATGTCACCAGGGAGATTTAATCAACAAAAAATTCAAAACCTAGAAAACTCTACAGAAAAATTAGGTATTTTCCTATACAAATAAATTAGCCCCCCAAAAATTAAAAGTATGGATAAAGGAAATATCAACCAATTTGTATGAATTTTACTTGGCTCTTGATACAAATAAACTAAGAGAATTCATGAAATCATTTGGATAATAATTTGAAAACTTTACTATATGTCTGATAGTAAGGAGTTATTAATACTTTATGATGACGTTGTTATTGAAATATATATCAATTTATATTATATGATAGTTAGAATTTAGTTCAAAATAGTCCCAGGATGTGTGGGATGATGAGTGGGTGAGTTTCTTTAGAGGAAGCAGACTTGGCCTTATGTTGATATTTGTAGGATCCAGGTAATGGATAGATGGGACTTATTTGACTTTTCTCTTCATTTGTATATGTTGTAAAATGCCCATCATAAAAATTTCAATAACAATGAACTTAAATATAAGACATTTTTGGGTTCTTTTAAATGGGAAAGTGCATATAATACGTGAGCAAATTTCATGTATGGTTTTTAAATTTAGAGGGCAAAACACAAGAAAAATATAAAATGTTATCAGTGGCTACTTTTAGATAAAGATACTATGTGTGACATTTCATTTTATGATAAAGCTTTCTTTTTATGAAAAGTATCTTATATGTGTAAATTTATAGGTTTGACTTTTTTCAAACAATGAATACTTTTATTTTGTTGTAAATAGTTCAAAATTCAAATGGTGCAAGAAAATATATAGTAATACTAGCTCAGCTCTTTATTTCTCAGTCATAGTTACATAAGTAACTATGTAATTCATTTCTTGTCATTCTTTTCTTGGATATTTACCTGGAAGATGTACATGTGTATTTATTTAAAATGTAAAATTATAAACACACTATAATTATTCTCTTGTTTCTACTTACCAGTATATTATGAAAACTATACTTATCAAAATGCTTCCTCATTCTTTCCCAGCTTGATCCTGTTGATAGAAGTACACATTTGCTTTTTCAAACTCTACTGGATTGCTTAATTTGAATGAGTCATTTTTTACACATGCAGGTTTATGGAGAGAATTCTATGATGTGGAATTACGTTAAATTATATACACATTAGTAATTTTGATAATGGATTTCAAATTGCCATCCACCAAGAGTTTGTAGGCAAAATATAATAAAAACTGGTAGATATTATTTGTATTACTTTTAGTATGAACGCTTGAGGATGTTTTCCATTTTTTAAGAGATCTTTCTACTTCCTTGTTTATGAAGTCTGTTCATAACCTTTGTCTCTTTTCCAACTGAGTTGGAAAACTAAATTGAGGACTTTTATAACAAATTGTAGAAGCATTTTGGAAACTAGCCTTTGTCTATAATATAAATTAAAATATTTCCTCCCAATTTATGTGTCTTTTGATTTGTATATTTATTGTTTTTAATTTTGAGTATGGTTGGATTTTTGTTGTTTGCCACACTTTTTTTTTATAAAATTGATCTGATTTTTATGATTTATGTATGTCTTCCTTAAAATCATTTTAAAATTATTTCTGCTATTTTTTACACCTAAATCTTCAATAAATGTGGACTATACACTAGTATTCACTATGAGGTTGAAGTCCAATTTAATTTAGTTTCCAGATGCCTATCAAGATATCCCACAGCATTTATTAGTTCATTTTTTTCTCACCAACTTAAAATGTCATCTTTATCATATCCTCTGTATCCATGTTTTTCTGATTATGTGTGTTTCTGGTCTTTCCATTCTGGTTCTTGGATGTTATCTATTTAACATTCTTGTATGTTAGTTTAATTACTGTAGCTTCTTAATAGCTTTGTTAATGCTCTGGGAATAATCCTCTCTTACTCTTAAAATTTACCTGGCTCTTCTTGATTCTTTATAACTCTCAAACCAGCTTATCTGACTACATTAAAAATCTTTTTTTTATTTTTTTTACGGTTTTACGCTTTCGTTTGCAGGTTTATGTAGGTAGCATTTTGCTTCCCTTGGAAGCATGTTTTTATTTCCTTTCTTTAGGCCTTATTATATTTCTTGTAAAGGCTTTTTTCTAAATACCCCTTTTGTATTCGTGTTCTAAGTGCTGTCTTTACTTCCATTGTATATTTTCTTTATTGTTTGTACATGTTATTAGTATTAGTTATTAGTATTACAAATATCCCTTTAGTGCCAGACATCTTTTTAATTCTTATTGTTTGTACTAGTTGCTCAATAGATACTCTTGGATTATGAAGAATGTAATGAGTAATGTAAAACAACCATGTACAAAATTAGACTTATACTACTAATTTGCATAGTTATATTGATAGTGTTTTCAATCAGAAAATCATTTAAAAATATGATTCTTGGCCCTCCCTGGTGGCGCAGCGGGTTAAAGCACAGCACAAAGAAGCTTAAGCCACTTCCGCATGAGTTCGATCCCGCTTGCCCCGGAGGTGACCACATGGTGTGGCAGACCTCTCCTGACCTGCCCGCTGCTCCCCTCAGCAGTGTGCTTCCTAGACCTGCCTGTTCTGCTCCCTACTCTGTCTCTGGTGAATCCTCTCACCCTCCGCATCTCTGGCCTGTAGCCCAGTTCTGTACGAATAAATAAATCTTTAAAAAAAAAAATATATGATTCTTGAGGACATAAATGACCCTTAACTTTAGCCCTGAAGTATGATCTCAGTAAATATGATTAGACTTCTTCTGAATTCTTCAGTAAACCTTTAAAAATCTTTAGTTACTTTAAAAAAAATTACTAAACATCTCTTTGAAAATAAATATTTTTAATAATGATTCATAAAATTGAAATATACTTTTTTCCCTTCAGGATCAAATGGCTATTGCATGTGGATCTCGAGCTCACTTGGAAAAAGAATCAGTTGCTCAGGTGAGGCTTTCATTAATAGGATGAGTTACCAGGGCTTTTTTTTTTCCTTTTTCACATATACATTAGCAAAAAATAAGTGTTCATGTTTGTTCTCATAAAAATGGAAATCCTTTCAAGAGAAAAGAACATTTTTTTTTAATTTTGGAAAGTTTTTGAAAAATTGGCTCATTTAGTAAATGATTTACTAATGAATATGCAAGAAGAATGTAGACTTACTTCACTTTGCTTTAGGACACAAGTAGCTCTTTTTTATTTCATTTTTTTACCCAGCCAACTTGCCTTTAAGTTTCACACATAAATGCTATATTTTGAGTTTCAGTCAAAATTTAATTTTTAAAAAAACTATTTCTCTCAAAAAACACACCACTAAGCCTGATAATTTGACAGACTGTGACTGTCCTAATGAGAGTATAAAATAATTCACTAAAGGCAGCAAATTCATTTTATAATTTGTAGGCTAGTCAAAAAAGGCTAGATTAAGTAATTATTCTGTGCATTTTTTTTATTTTATAAGTTTATTTTTACATATTTTTGTGCATTTTTCCATCTCAGTTGCAGTTCCCTTGGGTTTCCCATCACCAAATCACCCATGTGCCATCCCTGTAGTGTGCATTGCTTTTTAGTTACTTTTCACTTAAAAATATAGGTCTGGTATACCAACCCAGTAATTACCTTTTACATTGTCAATGGTCTCTACTAAAAGTCAGTTCAGTCAAAGAATTGGTCAGTTCAATTGAAGTAAATAATAAAAACAAGAATTTTTCAATGCAAGGTCATATTATCTGAGGAGATATAATTTAGTCATATTCTTAAGCTAACCCTGACACTGAACCAGACACTGTAAGTGGTGCCAGAAATCTAGCATATTTAACCATTTTCTCATACCTTTATGCATACAAAGGTTTGAGAACTAGCAGAATGAAGGTGAGGCGTCTCAAAGATTCTGAGAGAAATTGTAATTTTTCTGGGCAAACTGTTAGTGTCATAAAGCCTCTTGATGATTATGTTCAAGTGTGGAACTCTTGTCTCTCCTTTTTTTCTTACAGTTAATTATTTTAACATCTTTAGCATTTATTCCAATATTCTGTATCTCTGTCAATTCTCATTGGTTTTGATAAAGTGATACAGAATATTGGAATAAATGCTAACATCATATACCTAGAAATTTAAAATTGAAAGGAAATTTAAAGAGTAGATAGTCCAACTTCATCAGTTTACTTATACATCAGGGATAAGGAAAAAGAAAATGCATATCAAAGCTGTTCACATTGTGTAATTATAAAATATTAAAATCTATAAAATGCTAAATTCCAACACTAGAAAATATAAATATTTACCCCAAATGAAATATCACACAACAAGTAAAACATAGTAGTGGAGGCTATATAATCATATGGGAAAATATCTAATATATTAGTTTGCATGGGGGAAAAAAATGATATTATAAATGCAATATAGTTACTTGTGTAGAAATACCTTTGCAAAAAAAAAAGGAAAATAGACTGATGTTAATTTTAATGACTTTGTGAATTTTTTTTTAAAAAATAAGTATTTTAGAAGAAAGAAGGAATACTTGCTAAAGGAAGAAAAAGTTGGAAAAATAGAAACCACAAGACTAATTAGGAAATTATTGAAGCAGTCTAGGCAGAGAAAGTTGGGACTTTAAGGTTTTAATCGTGTTTTCAGTGGTTTCAGTTCTTTTCACTTGGAACTTCCATTACTTGAAAACTGATTTTTCTTAGGAATAGTAATTAAATGAGACTGTATAATTGTCTAAATTTTCTTTTACCTACTGATACTTTTAGACAAACATCAAGGGATCTATCTGAGGATATTTATCATTTACCTCATGGTCCATCCATCCATTCCTCCAGATCTAAAACCTGGTGTTTGATTAGTGCTTTTGTACCCCACAACACTGTTTGTTACTCAAAAAGAAGAGTAAAGTTTTCTCCTGAGTTGGAGGTCAGCAGTTTTCTACCTCAGGTGTGATATATAGCCGCTCTGCAGTAGGCTTCAACTCCGATGGTTCTCGTAAATCCAATGCAAGTCTTGTATTAGCTTATTGTCAAGAGTGAAAACATTCATTTGCCACATACCTAAGAAACTATAGTATGGCCTCCCATTTCTGAGCCACTCAGGTGTTTTGTATGTATCCTATAGGTTATATAAACCTTTGCATGGTGATAAATCGGTAGACAGAAAACTACAAAGGAATTAACCTTGATAGAGAAAGGCAACTTCAATAGTTTGCAGACGTATCTTTCCTAAATACATCTACACATATCCTCAGTTGATCCTACCGTCTGTTCTACTACCTTTTTGGAACCTAAAACATGATACAGCACGTATGGAGTTCTTTTGCATCCTCAAATGTATTCATATTCCCATGTCTTCTGTTTAACAGTTGCAATAGTAATGTTTATATTGTCTGGGTTTTCTTGATTTGTCATTTAAAAAAAAATTCAAAGTAATGCTTAATGTCTTTAGATTCTGTGACAACTATTTGCTTCTTTGACCTTATGTTAAGATACTGAAATTACCCATTACTGAAAATTTTCCTTTATGTTTTCAAAGGTCCATTTCAGAAATATATATGATTTTACTCTATGACCTTGTTCGCTACAATTAAATAAATCGATCCTTTATTTTTAAATATTTTCTAAATTGTAAGGTATTTTGCCAGGTTTTAATATTTACAGATCCCCTTATTTGTCTTTTATTTTGTTAATAGAAATCATACGTTAGTTTTCATGTGAAGTCCGCATTTCTGGTTTTTAAAAATAGCAATTATCCTAAGAGCAACAAAATACTTCATTAACATCCAAGCAAAAACAGTCATGAATATTTTGGTTTTGTAAGCAATAAACTCACCTAAATCACATTAAAAATCATTCAAGGAGAACAGTTTATAGGTATAATTTTTCTACCTTTTAATTTTTATTTTTTCTATCTTTCATTTTCTATTTGTTCCTTTTCTAAGCATAAATGACCTTTTGGAGGTTTAATCAGTTAACAAGTATTTATTGGAAATATTTTATATGGAAGGCCCTGAGCAAGCTGTTGTACGTTTCTCAAAGTATTTAAAGATGAGGTTTTTGCCCTATCTACTTAGTGAGGTAAGATATATTTACATCAAGGCATGACTATAATGATTTCAGGTTATAAATGAGAATTACTAGATCCTTTTTAAACGTATGTTTTACATGCCTCATGAATAAGTATTTTGTTTTAGTCTTCCTTCCCTTCCTGCCCTATTTAATACACAAGTAAAATTGTGGCAGGAGGTCAAAGTCAGCTTTCAAGTGCTCTTCCTTTTTGAAAAACATTTATTGAAGTCCTGTTACTACCTGTGCCAAACACTTTGCTAAAGACTTTAATGTTGTCTCATTTAATCCTTAAAATAAGTTTGCAAGGTAGGCATTTTCATTCCCATATTATAGATTAGGAAAGTGAGACTTAGTTGAAATAACTTGCCCAAGGTCATCCTGTTAATTATTAATAAAACCAGGATTTAAATATAGGTCTTCTCAGGTAAGTGGCTTTTTCTACTACGTCACATTATCACTGTTAGGTCATGGTTCTGTTTGATGATGATAGAAAAACTGAAGTGAATGAAGAATTGTACTAAAGATTATAATTATGAAAAACAAAAACCAAAGGGAGGAAGCCACCTTGATTTTATAGTAGGGATATTAAATATTCTCCAAACACCTAGTGGATGGTTTATTTGTATATGCAATATATCATTGTATGGACCTACTACCTTAATTTAGAATGCTCTAAGAGTCTTTTTAAATCCTAAGTTTGAAAGTCTTGAATACAATGATTGCTATTTTATCTTTTAGAGTTTGCAGTGCTTAATGAATAATGGAACATTATGTCCTAACAGCTACTAATATAATTATTAATAAAGGTAGTGATCCTCAAATAGGTTTAAAAAGCTGTTCAAATTTAATATCCAAATTATTAACTCACTCATTTAACATATTTAATCAACTATCTGACATATCTTTGGTAAACTTCTGTTAGTAGATTGAGGCCCTGACCTCCCACAGTTGTTGTGATTCTTCCCTGACTTAACCTCCAGGAAGTAATTGCTTCCCTAGAGCCTGTGCCCTGCGCTAAGCACTAGCCATCCTCTGGATTCCTATTAATTTACTGTGCCAGTGGAACTAATGGGACAGTGGTATTTGTATATAAGCTCAACCAGTCGATTAAATATTGAAATACTGCCATCTACAGCCAGATGTTTGCAGTGTCTCCTTCATAGATAAATGGAGAAGTCATTTATATTTTGTCTTTGTTTCAGCGTTCTTACTTCCGTACTCTTCTCATGTATGGGTTCCACTTTCTGGTGTGGTTCCTTTGTGTCAAAGGAATCAGGGACACACAGTGTGGGTTCAAATTATTAACCCGAGAAGCAGCTTCACGGACGTTTTCATCTCTGCACATTGAACGATGGTAGGTTCCTAACCAGGATGTGTCTGGTGTATCTTATTACACAGATGTTATTTCAGGTAATAAGAAATGGTACTGTATTCTCATAATAACTATCCATCTTAAACAAAATTGACACTTTTATGTAAACTTAATCTGGACCTTTATCTTTTACTCAATTAGATCTCATACTCTAACCCAACATATGGTGTACGTAGTACTACCTTGTACGTAGTAAATATTGAGAAGTGTGAAAACATCCTGTTACCTTAAGCTTACCTTTTCTTGAAGAAAAAGAAAAGGCTCAGAAATATCAAAGCAAAAAAAAGACCCATTTTCTCTTCTCTCTCATTTAACAGGCGTACTTCTCTTCCTGCTTTAGATCAGTCTTTAAACCACTGCATCCACTTTTACATTCTCAAGAACCTAACCCTGATCACTTAGTTCTTGTCTTATATATTCAGCCTTTTCCACTCAACTACATCTTTTTCATCTTTTATAAAACAAGTTTAAATTGTCCTTGCAAAAAAAAAAAAAATCTGTATTGACCTTGCATGCATCATTACCCCTCCGGCTGTAGCCTTTATTCCTTTTGCAGCCAGCCTTTTCTTAAAAAAAGGTCTCTATTCACCATCTGTATTTTCTTATTTCCCATTCACTCATCATCTCACCTTAATACAGCTTTTCTCCATCCTTCCATCTAAGCATCTAGTTAGCCCCATGTCATTAAACCCAGTGGTCAGATTTAATATGTCTACTCATTTACTTAATCCATCACCAGCTTTCCATATTTCTGAGTTCACTCTTGAAATATTCTTTTCCCTCAGCATATCTTTAGCCCACTCCTGCCTCAGTGCTTTACCTGTTAGTGAATAGCACTGTCACACAGAAGCTAGACATCTCAGAGTCAACCTGACACTCTCATATATGCAGTCCATGATCAAGGCATATTGATTTTAGTTAGCTCTTACATCTCTTCTTCCCTCTCAGTCTTTACCATCACCCTCCAGGACATCATCATTTCCCAGACTACCATGTTACTGTAAGGGATCTTTTCAAAAATTGAGAATAGTCAGTCAAAAGTACCTCTCCTGCTTAAAATCCTCCCGTGGCTTTCCATCACCTTATGTGCCTTTCTGAGGCCTTGCAAAGTCCTGCACAGCTGGCCCAATGTGTCTCTATGGCTGGATTCCTCCTTTCTCACTTCCCTCCCACTATTGCTTCTTTCCTTCAGATACAGCATTACCTTCATTTTTCTTAGTTGTGTGATATTTCCTTTTTCCCTATTAAAATCTAAGTTTCCCATGAGTAAGACCTATCTGATTTTGCTTACTAATATATTTGGATGGCCTGGTACATAGTAGATGCTCAATAAATATTGTTCAAAGGATTAATTTTTAGTGTTACCCACCCATGGGGCTTGTATGAATTCTGTTTGTGGTAGGAATCTGCATAATCTAGTAGGTGTTTGTGTTTTTTTGTAATCGTGCCCAATTTGGTGTATCTACTTGTAAAGATCTGTTATTTCCCTACATGTCATTAACCACCACCACCATCCCCAATTAAAGAAGCTATATTTTCAGAATTTAAATTATTATTTAAACATCTTTTTAGATCATTTTTCCTAGATTAAAAAATTCTAATTAATGTATGCTTGGTCCTCAGATTCAGACACCTCTTTCTGTTATATTGAAAAACAAAGTATACTGATAGTTAATAAACTCTGCAATCAAAGAGTCTAATGAGTAGCCACTATAGAAATAAATCCCTCCTACATTAGATATTTCTTCAGTCAGTTGTCAGATCTAGAACTAAGGTAGTTTAAAAGGAATTATTTAGAAATTAGGATTAGGATAAATACTATGGGAGCAATGATAACTTAAAATCATGAATCGCTGTTAGGATTGCTCTAGAGCAACATTGTCCATTAGAAATATATAAGACACAATTTCCAGCTTTATATGTAATGTAAATTTTCTAGTTGCCACATTGCAAAAATAAAAAAAGTTTAATAATGTGTTGATATTAATATACTGTTAATATATTTTATATATTTAACAATATATAAAAATTTCAACATGTGCTCAGTATGAAGAAAACTGAGAAGTTTTACATTTCTTACTACAAACCATATCTTTAGAGTAGATCACGTCTCACCTCAGATTGGCTTTAGTTAGTGCCCAGTAGCAATCTGTAACGAGTGGCTACCCTAATGGACAGCACAATTCTAGGATTTTATGGGACTTGGGTTTTGGTGTTTTTTTTGTTTGTTTGTTTTTTAAATTGTATGTTCTTGTATGTGCCTTTTTAATTAATCATTTGGATTTTCTTGATATATTGTTGACATGACTTAAAATTTTAACCTCTCACATTTTCTTTTTTTTTTTAAAAGATTTATTTATTTGTGCATACAGAACTGGGGTACAGGCCAGAGGCTCAGGAGCGGCGAGACGCTTCACCAGAGATAGAGTGGGGAGCAGAACAGGCAGATCGACGAAGTACATTGCTAGGGGGAGCAGCGAGCCGGCCAGGAGAGGTCTGCCACACCATGTGGTCACCTCCGGGGCACACGGGAATCGAACTCATGCGGAGGTGGCTTTGGCTTCTCAGCGCCTCCTCTCACCAGGGAGGCCCCTCTCACATTTTCTACTTAGAGTCCAATATGTTTATTTTGTGTCTTTAAAGAGGAACCACAAAATATGCCTGTGTCATCTTGATTAGCAGTATACCCTTAACCACGGTAGTGTTTATCAATTATTTTTATTTAAACATCTCTGTTCCTGTATCGTAAATCAAGAGAGATTTTTTTTTGTATGCAGTGCTTTCTTATAGAAACCAACTTCCTGTTCCTTATTTCTACATAATATTTCCTGTGACTAGTTTTGTTCTTTGTTTGTTTGTTTGTTTGTTTGCTTTTTAAGGATTACTTCTAAAGACTCATTGAAAATTTTCCCATAACTTTCAGGGAAATCCAAATCAAGCAGAAATACTAGGTATTTAAAAATATCAAGTATAGCTGAAGTTAAAAGACTATAAGCATCTTTTTGATTCAAAATTGCAGGCTTGACTATGGGTAATATTAAATATGTACATATAAATCTTTATTCTCTGAATTGTCCCTTACCTAAATTCTTTTCATCTATTTTTAAGGTAAAATATGACCCAATTTATGAGTAATTTCTAAAAGGAATTCTTTGAACAGTACTTTCTCTAATAATAATTATTTTTTTAAATTATACATATGTATGACGAAGTCAGTTCTATACAGGTTTATAACAACAACAGCAGAAAAAAGTTGTTTTTTCATTGCCCCATCTTCCCTTCATCCCCATTTCACCCCGAATCCTACACCCTAGCAACAGCCATTTTCAACTCTTTATTCTTTCTTTGTATATTTGCTTTGATAGTCAAAATAACATGTCTGCATTATATTTCAAGTTAAGATATTACTTTCCAAAATAGAAAATAAGTAAATAAGTATACTGACTTATCTTAAACTCCTGTATACACTCCATACTTATCCTCCTAATATAGTTTTAAAATAATTTTGGTTAAATCAGTATTGATTGTTATAGCTATATAAAGATAATTCACTTTTGAGCCAGAGTGCAATGATTGCATTACATTTCTTTGCAGTACTTTTTGTTTTTCTGAAGATAATAAATATCTGGAATTTTTTGTGTGCATTACTTAACTGTGGATAAAGGAAAGTATTCATGCTCAGACTCTGTCAGGAATGCAAATTCTTGCTCAACATGTTCTGACACATCAGATAATGCATCAGTTGCATCTCTGCTCTTAGAGTTTCATCAGCTCATGTTCTAGTTGTTCTCTGGCCTGCTCCACAGCTCCTGACCTCCATATCGCCTTTTCTTTGGTTTTCCCCTCTGTTTTATGAGAGCACATCTGCTAATTTCCTACAAATACAAGAAACTTGGAGAGATTATATTGAATATTATCTTTATTTTATCCTTACTCTTCTCTGATAGTTGGAAAAACTGTTTAGGTTGGAAATCATATTTCCTCAAGATTTTGAAAGCATTGTTCTGTTGTCTTTGGCATGGAGTGTTTCTGTGGAGAATTCCAGTTTTGTCAACAATTAGAATCTTGATTCTTTGTCTAAAGCATGTTGTCCTTACCCCTTTGGAAATATTTTGTCCATAGTGTTTTGAAACATAAGAATTCGATGGCTTCTTGTGACCCTACTTTATGTATTTTATTAAGTAGTAAATAGACCCTCTAAATCTTAATTCTGAGAAATAGCCTTTAATCATTCATTTGACAGTCTCCTCTCTGCTTTCTCTCTTCTCTCTTATAGAACAGACATAGATCTCATAATCCTATAATCTCTCCTCTTCTATTTTTCTTCCTCTAAGGAGACTTCCTCACTTTTAAACTTTCATTTTTACTCTCAAGATTTTAATTTACTTCAACTCTTGGTTGCTAGGTCCATTTCTTACAAATTTGTTGTGTTTCACGATTACAGTATCTTCCACTACCTCTTCTGATGCTTCATTTAAAACTTGATGGAAGCTTGTGCTCTCCCTGGTGGCACAGCAGGTTAAAGCACAGCACGAAGAAGCTAAAGCCACTTCAGCATGAGTTCGATCCCCGCTTGCCCCAGAGGTGATCCACTTGGTGTGGCAGACCTCTCCTGACCCGCCCGCTGCTCCCCTCAGCAGTGTACTTCGTCAGTCAGCCTGCTCTGTACCCCACTTGGTCTCTAGTGAATCCCTTCACCACCCCTGCACCTCTGGCCTATATACCAGTTCTGTATGTATAAATAAATAAATCTTAAAAAAAAAATTGATGGGGCATCATGGGTGGTACAGGGGTTAAAGACAGTGCTAGCAAGCCTCTGCAGTACAAGTTCAACAAGTTCAGTCCCTGGCAGGCAAGGGAGCTAACCCACATGGTGCAGCAGACCTCTCCTGTCTCACTTGTTGCTTCCCTCAGCAGTGTATTTGAGTAGATCTCAGAACATGTGTTCTGCTCCCCACTCTATCTTTGGTAAATCCTCTCACCTACCTGCATCTCTAGATACCCCGGCTCTTATATGCATAAATAAATAAAACTTGGGTGTTTTTTTGTTTGTTTTTCTTCCCCTAGGTTTTCTGTTGCTTCAGTTTTTTTGTTTGTTTCTTTGTTTTTAGTGAAATCTATCCTCAGATGTCCAGTATGGTATGAAAAGCTCATCAGAAGTGTCTGATCAACAGAGAATTCATTACAGATTAAACTAGTGGGACCATAAGTCAAAACTGGTCATTTTCACCAGAGTGGGATCCTTCAGTCTCCTGCCTAGGAGATACAGACCGGCTCCAGTATTTGTCCAGTTAACTGAAGGATAAGAAAATCTTAAGTAATATACAGTCAGCCTTCCTTACAGCCCCACCTGTGCCCCCACATAAAGAGATAATTTGAGGCCTCTGATACCTGTGTCTTTAGGGGGTTCTGTGGCACTTATTAGTCTGGCCCTATGCTTTTCCACTGCTATTGTCTACTTTCCTTAGTTACCATTTGTCCACCTACTTTTCAGCTTCCAGTTTTTATTACTATGGCCTCCTCCTTGTTCTTGTGTGTTTATAACATCATCATTGTTTTAATTGTAGTGGGGCTTAAGGAGGGAATAGTAGGGTACATATGTGTCTGCTGTGTTTAAGAAAATTTCAACATAGTCTTTGTTCTTCAAGTATTTATCTGTGAGATAACAGCCATACCAGGGGCTGAGCAGCAAAGGGAAACATGTGGCTCTGCCCTCCCCCAGTTTGCTCAGGGCATAAGAGCACCTTAATTGGAAAATGACCCGTACTGGTTCTCTGTAACAGCACAGGATTCCACCCAGAAGTACTTGGTATTTTAGTCAAATTGTTTTAAAAGGTTGACTTTGGTAACAGATTGATCTTATGATATGATGTGAGTTGTGATTTAAAAAAAAAAAATCTTCATATCTTCCAAAGTGTTTAAGGAAAGATAAAAGTAAAATTTAAAAAATGAATAGCTCTTTCAGTGTTTTTAATATAAAATTATTTTAGGTAATTTTAATTTAATCAATCATTGCGTTTTTTCTCCCGCATATTTCCATTCATCCTTCTTTCTTGTGGCATGTCTTAAATTGTTTTTGATAAGTTACTAACTATACACTGACATCCTTAGAAAAATATTTAATAATCTTGTTCAGGTTATTTAGTATCGTTAGAACTAAAGCTCATTAGATAATGTTGTAGTTTTCTGTTAAGGGAGAATTAAGAGTTAAACATCAGGCTTATTGCTCTAATTATTTTCTTCCTTCATGTGTCACAATTCTAGTTAACAGTTATACACAGTTCTTTTGAAATAAAGTATCTACCCTCTGTTGATCACTTGATCATCTTAAGTAAATATTTTATTAGGATTAAGAAAAAGCATTAAGTTTTTGTAAAAATTATGTCCATGTTGAATTACCCAAATACTTGGAATTTAAACTAGCTGTATAATGGATGGTGGTAGTTTTGTGCCCAAGAAAGCAAAACTCCTAAATTCAAGTTGTCTGATGTAAGGGAAATCAAATAAAGTGATTTTAGGCATTTTCTTGTCTGCATAATATTTTTGAACTAAACCCTGAAAGTTTGAAGTATATCAGAAAAGTCAGAAAGTAGGAACTTAGTGATTCAAGGATGAAGCAAAATTTAAAGGACTAGCTATTTGAGATGTTTAAAAAACGATGAAGATGTCTTAACAGGTAGTGCTACTTCATGCCAGTGAAAGGAAGTAACTGAGAAATTTTTTAAGCAATCCAAGATTTCTTAGACAAAATTCAGAAAATTTACGTGAAGTAGATTTAACTGAAACCAAGGCTCTAAGAAGTTCATTAAGAAAACCTTTGATAGGGAGCAGAAGAGTGAAATAGGAATTCAGACTAGAGATTAGTTAAACACAGTACGTGTTAGAAGGAGGCAAAATATCTAGTTCCTACATATGTATTTATTTATTCCCAAAGAGAACTTAAGCCTCATTCTACCTTGGCTTTTTCCCTGTCACAGTAGCTTCCAGTACTCTGTTGTTTAGGACAGCATGAAAGAAAGAAAGGCGAAAGAAAAAGGATGATGCTATGTTTAGAAATCAAAACTTGATCCTTTTGTAGTAGTAGAATGTAATAAGCAATTCTAAAGTAATCAAGAATATTCTCTCCTAGAACTTTTCAGACTTCTATCAGCTCTTCTAATCTGTTGAAAATGCTATCAGTTCTATATTGAACTAGTTAAGACTGGGATTGAAAACCATCATATTTGAAAATTCCAGTATCAAATTTTCTCTTGGTGCTCCAAAAGGCTGCTTTTACCTCTGAGCATTTCTAAGTTGTAGTAAAGAGACCATATTTCTCATTAGTGTTAGACAGTAACTAATTTTTTTTATTTGCCTTGAAGCTTCTAAACTTTGATTTGACCTTTGTGAATTTGACCTTAGTTTTACATTATAAACTTTATCTGCCATGCAAGCTTCTTTACAACTCACAATGGTAGAGGTTTAATTACACTTTTTTTTTTAAGATTTATGTATTTATTCATCCAGAACTGGGGTACAGGCCAGAGATGTGGAGGGTAAGAGGACTCACCAGAGACAGAGTGGGGAGCAGAACAGGCAGATCTACAAAGTACAGTGCTGAGGGGAGCAGCGGGCGGGTCAGGAGGGGTCTGCCACGCCATGTGGTCACCTCCAGGAAAGGCGGGGATGAACTCATGCGGAAGTGGCTTAAGCTTCTTAGTGCTGTGCTTTAACCCACTGCGCCACCAGGGAGGGCCTACACTTTGTTTTTTTTAAAAATAAATGTCAATATATTTTCTGTTTCAGGGCGTTTGATGTGGAACTGCTTTACATTGCACAGTTCTTTAAAATTCCAATAGCAGAAATTGCTGTCAACTGGACTGAAATTGAAGGTGAGTATATCACTTATGCTACAGCTGATCTTAAGTAGAGCCTGGGGGGCAGATGTCAGACAATACACTTGTCCAGTCAAGGCAGCTGGCTTTCATGTTCTTCCTCTCTCCCACCAGTGCATAGTCAGCTCTCTTGACTCAGAGACAAGCTCCATAGGAAGTACTGCCTTCTAATCCGCCACCATCCATCTGGCCGTTTATTTTTTTTCAGTTTCTTCTTGGAGTCTTTCATAGGCCTACTTCCCTGCCTAGGAATTCAGTAAAACTTGTTATTATAGACAGTATTATGGTGATCCAGAGGTAGAGGTGAGATTCACAGGCTGAGATAAGCTTTGTTGTTTGTGTTATTTTGGGGGCAATGGGGGGTTGGCATTGTATTATTGCATTACTTGGTGGATACTGATACCTACAAACCACTATGCAAAGCTAAGTAAGGGAGTTAAGTTGTTTTTACTCCAAACCCCCACAGCCCTATGAGAGCCATTTTTCAACTGGTATCTATCTACCTATCTATCTATCTACCCAAAACTATAAAGATCGCTAAGATCTAGAATAATGGAAATCTATCATAGTTCTTAATAATTCCTTCTCAGAAAAGCTTAGACATCTCTGGCTGTGTGGAACTTGAAATATTCCAGTTTTTACCTTGTTTACCTTAAAATAGTCCAAAATTAAATCAGAGTGTAGGCCATCAACAAGAATTAGCAATCAACTAGAGACTTTCAGAGTCACCTCCACCAGATAAGCTGGTCCCCTCTTAGAAAGTCCTTGTTGCAGGAAGACATTGCTCTGTATCCTCAGATATTTAGGAACAGGAAAAAAAAAAAAAAAGCTAACTGGAGATTATGCTACCTACAAAATCTAGAATGAATTCAAACCTCTTAGAGTCTTGCTAAATCAAATTGAGTTTATAGAAACAATAAATCTTTATATAGCTGCCTAGACAGGGACAGGAGGCAGGTAAAAGGACTACTCAGAATTGTAATGATCAACTCTGTGGCAAACTGAAGTGGGGAGAAGTTAACATCAGCATCAGTTGCATTACAGAGGTAGTTGTGTCCTTATATAAACTATAAGTAACTCAAGTTCCTCATTTGTGGAATGAAGATAATAATAAAGAGTAAGACTAACGTGTACAAAGAGCTTTGATGGTAACCTTTGTTGTTCAAACTGCTACTGAAACTTTAAACCCTCCTCCTCACAGATACTCATTCATCTGCAGGTGTAGGGCAAAGAGCAGTTAAAGGGATCCACTATGGACTGTGATCAGACATTTAATAAAGCTGGTATATTTGTATATAACCTAAGACAGAGGCCTAGACAAGTTTGTCATAAGATTGATCATAGGCTTTATTTTAATCATTAAGAGTGGACTCATGCATAGGAATAATCTTAATTTTCGACTGTACTATGTATTATAGTATATGTTATTTTGCATGTAATTATTATTTTCCCATTAACTAGCACTCAGTGGTATAGATTAGGCATTCCCTGAACCCTCAACCAGACACAGTAGGACCATCTAAAAATTTCACAATTTAGATTCTCCCAAGTTTCATTTCACTTCAAGAGGGTTTGTTCTGTTGTTTTTGGAGAAACTACTCACTTCAACTTTGAAGATGGGTTAATTCTTTTGTTTATGATTTAAATAAAACTAAGGTGGTTGTGTTAACTTCACTGAGGTAATCATTTTACAGTGTATATTTCTGTCAAATCATCACACTGCACACTTCCAATATATTTCAATTATGTCAGTTATACCTAATCTGGGAGGGAAGGGAAGAAAAAGATGAAGAAGCTCGAGCTTTGGACTAAAGTCAGAATTGTCAGTGATGAATGCTGTGATTTTTCTACACACCATTCCCATTACATCACCTGTAACATTTGAGGAGGTAGGAGGAAGGCTGTATTCCTGACTCAGGATAAAAGCAATTCCAGGGAATGAAGTCAAAGATTATAAGTTTTTAAAACATGCTCAAGGAGGCAAATCTCTTTTTGTCAGCTCAGCTTGACATGTTACCATTTGGCAGCCAGTGGACACCACATCAGTCTAGCTAAGATGGCATTTATTTTAGCTATTGGAGAGTCTTTGACAGTATTTAAAAGTCAGGTTTTGTCTCAAATTTCTTATCTCATTCATCAGTATGTATATTATGTGTGGAGGGATGCCTGCTTCTCTGTAGTACTGAGACTCTGTAATATGTGACCCTGAACATGGTATGTGAAACATGAAAAGGTACCCCCAAGTCACCTTTAACATACAGATAAAATTAAATGCTTTACACATTTACATAATATTACTGAGATCAAGGTGACGAGAAGCTCATCAAGGTGATGTAGATTGATTACTAAATTACAATTTTCAACTAATTTATTTCTCCTAAGTTAAAGTTAATTTGCAATTATTTTTAAATTGCAGGTTCAAAATTAGTTCCATTTTGGAGCTGGCTACAAATGGGCAAGGACCTACTTTTTATACGACTTCGGTATTTGACTGGTGCTTGGAAGCTTGAACAAACCAGGAAAATGAATTAGACTATTTCATCTTTGATTGTATTATGTATCAGTGTCACGTTATTTCATTTCAAATTAAAATTTTAAATAAAGTTGAAATAAACCCATGCATTGTATGTCTTGATAATTCTAGAGAATTAAATGTCTTAAGTAAAAAATGCTATACAACCAAAAATGTTAAGGTGTTCATAAATAAAAGTCAGATTTTCTTTGGCTTTAGATTAAACATACCATTATGATTCTTAACTTTAATTTTAAAATGGAAGACAGAAACGATTACTCTAAAGTACCTGCCTTGATTTTTATGAGCTTAAAGAAAAACCACAATCATTGTTACAGGATTTAATATATGTTTAAATACATATAAATGTATTATTGTTGGAGAAAACTATATGTCAATTTATTAAACTTTAGGAAAATCTGTCAAAGACATGGGCTCACTCATAAAGGCTTGTACTTCCTTATATAGGCTTTTTCTAAATAACATTTTTATTGATTTAAGATTAGTTTACAACCCTGTATATGATTTAAGTTATAGGTTCACAGTTGTTTGCTCCCCATCTCCGTTTCTGATAGTCTCAATTCTACAGTCAGATTCTTTTATTTAAAAAAAAAAAAGATTATGCATACAGAAATGAGGTACAGGCCAGTGGTATTTGCAGGGGTGGTAAGAGGATTCACCAGAGTCAGAGTGGGGAGCAGAACAGGCAGATCTACAAAGTACACTGCTGAGGGGAGCAGTGTGTGAGTCAGGAGAGGTCTGCCACACCATGTGGGCCACCTTGAGGGCAGGAATCAAACTCCCCCAAGTGGCTACACCAGCTTCACAGTGTTGGGCTTTAATCCACTGTGCCACCAGGGAGGGCCCCCTACAGTCAGATTTCTAGGGTTTGTTTTGGTTTAGTTTTGTCTGAGCCTTTATTTCTTTACATTCAACATATAAATGAAATCACCCAGTATTTGTCATTCTCCTCTGGCTTACTTTGCTTAACATAATACCCTCCTTTCCTACCCATCCTAGCACAAATGGCAAGATTTCATCTTTTTTGATAATCTCCCAATTTTTATTTAAATTTACTGTACTTAATTATACCTCTTACCTCCCTGCAACCATTTCCTCTCAGATTCTTGGTATTAGAAATTGAAAATTCTTTATTAAAAAGATAATTGTAAATGTTAACAAAAAAGATAATTGTTAATATGACCATCAGAAAGCCATTTTTAAAATACTATATGACTAGTAACTAGCAATTATAAAATAATGAACCTCTGAAAGTCAAAATTAGATTAATCTGTTTCTGATGTCCTACAGAAACATTGAGTCAATGAGTGCTTATTATATGCCAGCCTCTATTCTAAACATCAGTATATGTGATTCACCTAAATTTTTATTTTAAAGATATATTTATTTATGCATACAGAACTGGGGCACAGGCCAGAGGTGCATGGGTGGTGAGAGGACTCACTGGAGACAGAGTGGGGAGCTGAGCAGGCTGACTGAGGAAGTGGGCGAGGATCGAACTCATGCGGAAGTGGCTTTAGCTTCTTAGTGCTGAGCTTTAACCCGCTGCGCCACCAGGCCGGGGCCTTATTCGCCTTAATTTTACAATAGAAGAAAAGCTGAAGCACAAAGGAGTTACTTACCCAAGATCCCCCAGCTGAGATTGTGGAGTTGCCAGTCTAGCTCACGTAGTCTGGACCCAGAGGCTGCATTCTGTTCTGATTATACTACTCAGTTTTCTGAATGTATGCAGACTAGGAATGGTTGTGTAGGGTAAATGAGATGGTCAGGCTTTAACAGGCTGGCCTTCCGTGGCTGTCACTTGCTGCTTGGACTGGGCGGTGTTAATGCAGGAGGTGCCTGGGAGCATGAGCTCGGGGTTCTCATGCCTAATGGTGAACACCTGGAACGTGGTGTGGGCATGTATTAGTGGGCACATCTGAGCCTGGAGGCAGAGGCTATATAAGGGCAGCGTCACACAAATAATTATGGCAAAATGGCTGCTATGGCTGAGGAAGGCTACAAGCAGACCACTCGCTGAGGACAAAGAGCCCCAAAGAACAGAATGCAGATTCCCTGAGGGGGGCTAGGAGGCCTGCCAGACTTCAGTTCCTCCAGCCTCTTGCCTGCTCTGCACCCAGTTGCTGGTACTACAAATGTAAGTAGAGTTTCTAAATACATTTTACAAGCAAGACTTAGGTGAAAAAGTAAATAAGCTAAAACTGATTCTTCTTTAATTTCCTCAACAGTGATACTTCCACATCTGTATGAGGCAGTAAGCGCCTTAAAAATGGAAACCGTATCTTACTCAAAATGGTATCCCCAGCACAGGGCTTAGTAGATAGCAAACATGTTATATCAGTAAATAACTTATATAAGTAAATAACTGCCAGATTTTGAGAGCATTCTAGTTGCTTAATTGAACAAAGGAAGGCTTTTGCAAGTAGAAATGACAGAAAGTAAATAGAATGACTTCTAAGTGAGCATGTATAAGAACTCAAAAAAAAAGTACTGCTGCAGGGACACCCCTCCCCACCCACCCCTTTGATTGTTACATATGGCCCCAATGAAGAGGTGCCAGGTGCCCCAGCTGTGGCCCCTCAGAACTACTGGCCGTGAACCAGACCTAAACTCAGGGTAAGTTGAGTCTGTGCAGGCACCTGGCTTTCCCCTTTTGTATTTGGTACCTGGATCATAAATGGATCAATCAGTTTTGAGCTCATTTTCATTCATGTAATGATTTAATGATTTAAACTGAAAAATGGAAATAAGCTGATTGATGCTAACTAGCTGACTGTTACTAACTAGCTAGTTAGCGCTAACTAGCACCAATGCTTAGGATGCATAAGATTGAAAATAATCCAATTAGGTGGGGTTTGTAAGGGTTTGTAAAGTGGGGGAATTTGAAGGAGGATACCTACGTCAGAGCAAGAGCCAGCCTGGATTCATTCTGCTCCTAGCCTCCAGAGAGAGAACTCAGCAACTTACCTCTAAAGAGAGAAGGAATCAGCAAATGGCCTCTGAAGAAGACTCCAGCAGATAACTTCTGTGGGATTCAGGAGAGCTGCAGTCCTCCACAGGCCTTCTAGCCTTCACAGACTTTTGCAGAGCCTAGCCACTGCATCTGCCTTTGGCCACCTTTGAAAGCTGTCCACTTTCCACTGTTGGTTATGTGTCCATCCGGTACAGCCTCCCAGTGCTGTTACCTACATTGCTGTCCAGCCGCCCTTGGTGGGCTGCTATGGTGTTACTACAGGCACCCCAGCTGTGAACACCTCCAGCTGGCACCATGAGTTGGACCCTGATGCACTGCTGGCCAAGATGCCACCAGCTCCATTGATGGTGTGGCACCCTTTCCCATGAGTGGCCTTTTGTTTGGGTCGACCAGAGACTGTGGACAAAATCTGGAGTGAGATAGTCCCTTGTAGCCTTAAAAAATCTTTGTTTGCCCAATATTTTGTTTATTAAATAAATATCTATGTTACTGTTCCCTGATCCTAAATAGCCTTCCAGTGAGCATACAGGTGAGAACCCCCTGTGACTTGACCACCCCCCACCTTGGCTCTGATTTAAGCTCTGCTTTAAATACTAGCTTTACCACCAGATCCCTCCCATACCTTGCTGACTCCGTTACTGTGAAAACAATGTCACTACCTATGGAAGACAGCAAAGGTCAAAAAATAAAAATTAAATCAATAAAAGCACAGTACCCCCTGTGGAAAAAGTAAAAGTCTAACTCTGAAGTCAATGCTGGAGGTATTTTTTAACAGGGAAATTCAGGTCCCTATTAAAATTCCAAGATGGTGGCAGAGTGAAGAGGCAAGAATTCCATCCTCCATATACTCACAGCTAGAGAGCAACAGAGCAAAGCCAAAAACCCCTGAAAGAATACCAGATTACTCCAAAACACACTAGGAGCAATGATCCAGTGAAAAGGTGAAGGAAAACTTCAGGTAAACTGTGTTTATGGTGATATCAAGGAATAAAAACCCCAAAAGGGCTCAAAGGCACACACCAGCATCCAGGACTCTTGAGACCTGCACTGCACTGCACTGGAAAAGGTGGTGCTCAGAATTGGGGCCCAGGACAAAGGGGGTGCCATTGGAGGACTTGGGCTGAGGCCTGCCGTGGTGGGGTTAAACAGGCTGGGTCTTCTTTATGAAGCAACTACTACTTGGAGCTGAAACTGGTATATTCAAAACACATGCCGCCTCTTACCCCAGGGCTAAAAGCAAAACAACCAAAGAATACTTGTATAGATAAGAATTTAAGCCCCTATGAAGAACAGAAGCAAATACCCTCAGATACCAAAAGAAAGTAACTCCTGACCAGTGGCCCCATTTCAACTACAATCCACACCCAGCATGGTGGTGAAATAGCCGAGAGGTAAATACTGAGATGAGATTGTACAAGGCATGTAGACTGAGGAGCTGGCCTAGTGGAGGGGTCACTGTGGACCCCGCTACACAACTCTCATCCCCACAGGACAATAGGAATCTTCAGTCCTCAACACTCACTGGGGGGGATCCCTTGGTCCCCTATAGCCCCAGGCTTCTTTTACCTACTACCACTTGTTGGCACCAACTCTCTAGTTACAGCAGTAGCAAAAGCCCCATTTGAAAGCCTATTTCTACTACAATCCATAGAAACAAGCAGGCCAGACGTGCCAGGGGTGGTGAGAGGATTCACCACAGAGGGGAGCAGACAGTGGGGAGCAGAACAGGCAGATCTACCGAAGTACAGTGCTGAAGGCAGCAGCAGGCGAGATAGCTGACAGTGGGTCAGCTCTCTGGCCAGGGATCCAGCTCGTGGTGTAGTGGCTGTGGATAGCTTCAGAGCTATCCACTTAGCTTCATAATGTGCGCCCCTGTTCTTGTATGCATAAATAAATAAACATTTTTTAAAAAAAACGAAGAGAAAGGAAAACACACTGCAAATGCTAGAGAATAAAATAAAATGAAATGTGTCCCCATTCAGTGGGCTTCAGAACACGACTGAACATAAACAGAACACAGGCCACAAAACAGGAGCAGAATAGTCTGAGAAAACAGTAGTCAATTGCAATTAGGAGTAATGGAGCTACAACAATACATAGACTATTGA